GATAGACATATGATACAGTAGGCTTTAATTAGTCAGATTATTTAGCCAAATAAGCTAGAGTCATTAAATATGCTTTTTATATATATATATACAACAGTATAACTAGGAACTAGAAGAGAACCTCCAGGAGACTGTAGACTTTAATAGATCAAAAGAGGGAAGAAGTACAAGCATAAAGTGCAGTGGCTTGTTTTCATGCTGTATGTGGAATATAACTGTGTGAATGCTGACCTATCAGGAGCGAAGCCACTAAGAAGAGAAGCGGACCATCGTTAAGGTAGTAAAGGAGTGTGTAGCAACAACGGAGGCTCAAACTCTGGTTGTTAAAGAACAGAAAAGACCAGGACCAGATCAGAGACCCGTTCTCTCTTCTTGCGGCCTGGTTCTTCTCTGTGCTGTGGATGCTGCAGCCTCTGTTGTGCAGCATTTTGAGAGAAGGACCACAGAGGAAGAGCAGAGAGAGCTCAGTGCAGGACTCCACATCCAACAGAGTAATTGCTAATTATAGCAGTTGTAATTGTGTTAACCTCTGACTCCGTATGTATGGATTTGGTTTATTAAACCGTCCAGTGACATGCAGTAGTTGCATCTGTCAGCGCTCTCTGATCTCCTCCTGGGTCTCATCAAAAGCAACGAGCCAGCTGCACAAACAGCCACCCGGCAGCGTGAGCTTTGACGGTGGTTTGATCGTACTGAAAGTGCAGGATGTGCTAAGACACACGGGCTTTTCAGTGGGCCAGCTCGTCCACGGGGTTTCCACACAGAGGAAGTGCAGCTCTGCTGTGTTGTAACGTCACCGCGTAAACCAGACACTCACCTTCTAATCCTGCAGTCGGATCAGAGGCAGGAGACAAGCAGTCCATCTATGCCCTTGTCTTTATCTTTCATCCCACTGATTAGCGGCGAGCAGGCCCGCTCTATACGGGCCGCGTGTTTTCTTTAACCTTGAGTGTTTTTCTGGATTGTTCTTGCTCGGATAGCTGCTGCTGCTCATGGCCTGAAGGAGCAGTTCTGTGTTTTGGGAAAAGACATTTTAAAATTACAAGAAGGTTCCTCCCACTCTGTGCATCCAGTTTGAAGACATAGTGTAATGTACCAGAACTGGAGCAGCTGGCCGGGCTCTGTGGAGCCGCCTCGGTTCTGGTGTTGCAGCAGACTTTGGCTGCATGTCATAGCTCTCTCTCCCTTTGTTCAAAGCCTCCGTCTCACCACATCTCACCAACAGGGATGAGAAAGGCCGTCCAGTCCATCCAACAAGGCAGCCTGCTGTTCTGTTCAGTTCTGTTCACTTTTATTTGTATAGCTCAGTTCACAACACGTGTCATCACACAGAGCTGAATACAGTCAGGTATGGACCGGAACAATCCAGAGCAGCCGCTGGACTTCCTCTGAGCGGTGGGAAGGAACCAAAACCCCCCCACAGAGGGAGGAGGAAAACAAACCTCCAGCAGAACCAGGCTCAGGGAGGACGGCCATCTGCCTGGACCGGTTGGGTGAGAGTGGGGATGGGGGGCCCAAGATAGCAGATGGAGAGCAGCGACAGAACAGAACAATAAATGTGAATATAAGTGTTGTGGGGGTTGGTGAGGCCAGAAGCTGGAGGTCAGAGACGTGAAGCTCCAGATCCAGAGACGTCCACAGAGAGAACAAGGCCAGAACCTTCATGTGTTGGGACTCCTGCAGTCGCTCAGAGACAGAAAGTCAACCATCATGTCATGTGTTAATTATGAAAAGGAAAGGAGGAAAAACAGAGCAAAGTATCTGCACCTCACCTGTTAGAGGTGGTACCGCAAACTTCCCAAAATCAGGACTGCTTCCTGAAACATGGCAACACCTGTCTGTCCAGCAACACACCTGCCTGTACAGTCACTGTTTTATGCATCAATCCACTCGTTTTCTTTCAGTTTTACAGTCGTTCTGTCCAATTAAATGAGTCTGTGTTGATCTGAGCCTAACGTTAGCATCTGCATCGCTGTGTTGTCCCTAAACACCTGCACACTGGAACCAGAGGAAACAGGTGATGATTAATCTGGTGTAAAGTTCCAGGAATGTGGATTTAAAAAGAAGCAAACCATGTCTGTGTATTGGCATGTGTCTGCTGTTTGGAGGAGTGACATGAAGAAGGCGACCTGCTGCTGCTAATGTGATGTGCTTTCTGCAGTAGCACGGATGGAAATGAAGACTCAGGAGAACTGGACTTCAGCGCTTTGTTAAAGAAGAGGTAAGCGATGACAGAGAAACACCAGAATCCTCACAGTCATCGCAAGACTTTCTGTTTTCACATTTTTTAATCAAACTCTTTCCCCCTCTTGTCCTTTCTGGATGTTCTGGTGTCTTCAGAGAGTAAGTCATTTCTACGTCTGCAAACTGACAGTAGTGATGAGCAGCTAACAGCACCGACTGAACACTAACCCACTGCACAGCTGACATGACATCCGTGTCTCTGGAGTTCAACTTCTGTTCTTGCAGTTTACAAAAGCTTCTTTTTTTCTCTTAGATTGGAAACATGTTGTAGTTTTTAGTGTGTATACGAGTATATATGCCTGTAAAAGAAGTTTTCTCTTTTTATTGCTTTTCATCAGTGAATCAATCTGTTTGTTTTGTTGTTGGGCTGCAGGCTGCTCGGTGGTTAGCACCGTTAGCACCGTTAACACCGTTAGCGCCTCACAGCTAGAAGGTCACCGGTTCACGTCCCGGTGAGGACACCCGGGATCTTCCTGCGTGGAGTCTCCATGTTCTCCCCGTGCAGCGTGGGTTCTCTCCAGGTTCTCCGGCTTCCTCCCACAGTCCAGAAACATGCTGAGGTTAATTGGTGATTGTAAATTGTCCGTAGGTGTGAATGTGAGTGTGCTTGGTTGTCTGTCTCTAAGTGTAGCCCTGTGATAGACTGGTTACCTGTCCAGGTGAACCTGCCTTCACCCTGAGTCAGCTGGGATAGGCTCCGCCCCCCATGACCCTGGTGAGGATTCAGGTGTAGAGATGATGATGGATGTAACTACTTGTGGAAATCTGTTTTCACGTTGACATAAAAGCATCTTGTAGCCAGATGCTACTGACCAGGACTCAGTGGTGAAACGCTGTAAAGGGGAAACTTCCAGGCCACAGAAAGTCCTGATTTCCAAGTCATGGGTCGTGACAGTCCAGTCACCGTCTCTGATGTTTCACGTTTGTCATGACACTGATCCCGCTCACCTCCAACAGCAGCTCTTTAAACCTGCCTGGATGTGTTTAGGACGCATCGACACGCGTGTAGCTGCTGAATCTCACAACGAGCCACACTTTACAGCCTTCACACACATTTAGAAAATCACATCTGTTGATGAAACACCACTCACAGATACTCATAGCAGCTGGATGGCGGTCTGAGCAAAGGTGGGCGTCAGCGCTGGCTTTGTGTGGGACTGAAGCTGACGCCTGATGTGTGTCTGCCTGCTGCTGTGACCTTTGCTGTAATATGTGTTTTGTATTTGTGATATGCTGACTGTGTTGCTGCTGTTTTAACGTGTCTGGTTTGTTTTGCCCTGTTTGCCTCTCGGGTTCTGCCTCTGAATAAGCAGCAGTTTCTTAAAATCCTCAAAGTAAGTAAGACGCTGCTGACGCGCTGTCTGACGTGTTGGGTTTCATTTCTGTGCTTGATGACAACGAAAGCTTGACTGTATTGTTTTATAGTGATATTAAAACAACTTTTATTTACTGATTGTTTAGTCTATGGCATTAATGATGTCGTCAAAATGAATTTCATAATGATGAGCAGCTAGATTATCAGTCTGCAGGTCATTGAACCTGGAGTTAGTCAGCAGTGTCTGGATTTTACTCTTGGTCAGCTGTTACTGATTCATTAAAGTTGAATGAACTGTGAATATAATATTATAATGTGAATAATAATGAGCCTGTCAGTGTCTGAGTGACAGCATCGACCTCATTTCATGTACACCATGTAAATGTGGTCCCCGGTGCTCCGGACCGGCTTTGACTTTGTCTTTGTCCGGCCGGTGTGTGTGATTCAGAGCGGTGCAGACGAGCTCAGATCCCGACGTGGACATCTGGAAGATCCTCAGCAGCGCTCCCGCCTCAGAATATGAAAAGATTGCCTTTCAGCATGGCATCACCGACCTGCGAGGGATGCTCAAGAGACTGAAGAAGATGAAGAAAGAGGAGAAGAAGAGTGAAGGTTGGTGTTCAGCTTGATCCAGTCCGAACAGAAATGCTAGCGGAGGCCTGAGAGTGACAGATGACTGTTTTATTTATGCTCTGAAACTCAGCTTTCCTCAAGAAGCTGGATCCGGCCTACCAGGTGACCAAGGGACAGAAAATCAAGCTCGCGGTTGAGGTCGCCAATGAGGACGTTGAGGTGAAGTGGCTGAAGAACGGACAAGAAATCCAGCCGACTGGAAGGTTTGACTCCAGCTCAGCTCCATAGAACATGCTGAACATCATCATGACTCTGTTTGTGATCCTCTCTGTTTCTCCCTCTTCCTCCTGCCTCCGTCGACAACATGGCCTCCTTGTCTTCTCATCACTAGCAAGTAGGTGTCATCCATTACAATCGAGCTCCATCAACAGTCCTATTTTATGTAAAACAGGTGTTCAGGTGTGTTTAAACCAGCCTGCTCTGTGTCCAGGTACATATTTGAGAGTGTCGGCAACATGCGCTACCTCACCATCAGCAACTGCTCCCTGGCTGACGACGCCGCGTACTGCTGCATCGTGGGCGAGGAGAAGTGCACCACTGAGCTCTTTGTTAAAGGTACTTTCGAGGAAATGTGCGGCACAGCATTAGGATTCACAGCTAAATCTCTGCTTCTGGTCTGTTCTCCACAGAGCCTCCTGTCACCATAGTGAAAAACCTGGAGGATCAGATGGTCATGAAGGGTGAGCGGGTGGAGCTGGAGTGTGAAGTCTCGGAGGAAGGAGCCAATGTTAAATGGTTAGACGTGCTTTTAATCACTCAGCTGTCAGAAGTTGGGTTTTAAATGTCCTCGGATTCGAAATCCTAAAATACAATCCAGTCGAACCAGAACATATCCAGTTTGTAAGCACTGATCAATACAATCAATGAGCAATCACTGGATAAAACAGCTGCTAACCGGCACAAAAATCAGATGGAATCAGCTCTTATTCAGCGTTTCGTTTAATTTTCAGTCACTCTGAACAGTTGCTCAGACACCCAGCAGATGGCATTTGAGGTTGTCATGTCTACAGACAGATGCCAGACCTCTGAGCTCTGCCACAGCCTCAAGTAATGCTGCAAGCTATAAATTATCACCTCCATGAAAAGGTCACATCAGCACCTCAGCGTGTCCCACGTGACATTTATCTGAAGGAGAAAGTCGCCGCAAATGCACATGGTGCTGTTATTTGAGTGCAGTTGTTGGAACGTGGGTCAAAGATTAAAACAGGTCAGAAAAAGTCAAACGATGAACAGCGAAGCAAAGACAGAAGCAACAGATGGACGGAAAACTGGCTGCACAGTAACAGTGGATGTGATGTGATCATCGTGATAAATCTGTCCAGTCCCGGGTCGATGCTCTGACGGGACGTTTCTGTTGGTTGGAAGCAGCACATGTGAAGGTCTGAGGTCGCTGCTGTGTGAGCTTCAAACCACATTTTGTTTATTCAGCAAATAAAGCCAGCGTAGTTGTTCCTGCGTGATCTAAATGTGGACAAAACAAGTGGTCACATCCTGTGTGGGCAGGTGTTTATCACAAAGTGAGATGTGTCTGAAAGCTCCCAAAATAGTAAGAAGACCTTTGAGCCTGGATTCACTTTATCATATGATGTTTTTCAGCGGCTCTTAAAGGCACACTCCCCGATCACGGTGCCGCTCACAATGATTCTGGTTTGTAATGTGAACGTCCACGCAGGGAGAAAGACGGCGTGGAGCTGACCAGGGACGAGTCTTTCAAGTACCGCTTCAAGAAAGACGGCTGCAAGCACGTGCTGATCATCAACGAGGCCACCAAAGAGGACTGCGGCCACTACAAGGTTAAAACCAATGGCGGCGAGTCCATGGCTGAGCTCCTGGTGCAGGGTGAGTGTCGGTCATGCTGTGAGTACAGTATGAACCTCTTTTGTCAGTGATGAATTCTCCGAGCACACATTCCCGTGCTCTACCAATAGCTGCACGGCCTTGCCTCTCTTGGCATGCCGTCTATCTTTGGGACATGGCCCACATCATTCTGCCAAGGTTGCTGCAGCGACGTAAGTCTGCATGCCAGCTAAAGTTAGAAGATGTATATTTCACCTGAAGGGCACAGGTCTGCTCAGATGGCCTCTCTGCTCTCTGTTTCCCCTCTTTGTTTTCTGTGCGGTTGATTTAATGTCTCTTTGTCGCACCTTTTACCTCCAAAAGCACACGTCTGTGTAAACACAAGCACAATAAATAAAACCATAAACTAGTCCCACACTTTTATGACACAACCACATGTTTGTCTTGCTTCAAAAACATTTTCTGTATTTCAGAAGCAAGTTTGCGGCGGCAGTCTGAAGTCTGTAATAAAGAGTGAGTTGTATGTTTTATTGCTAGATGGTAGGCTTCCCTCTAGCACCAGGTCACAACAAGCTGCTGATGCTGATGAGAAACCTGCACTGAGCCTCTCAGAGTTTTGTAAGTGTGAGATGTTTTTTAAAAGTCACACATGCTGTTGTTTGCTGGTGGATATGCTTAGACGTGTTAATTTTAATCTACAGGTGATCTAAACATGACGGATGGGGACGATTCAAACTCATCCGTACATGGACGTAGGCAACAAATGAAGTGCAGCTAGTTGCCCCAGTAACCTCCTCCCCTCACAGAGCAGACATAGTCGTCATGAACCTCAATTAATCTCCTCCTCTTAATGGAAGACATCATTTAGTCCTGACTCCCCCGAGTAAATATACGCTCACGTTTGCATATATATTCATATGTGTGGTATATATATGTGTGTGTGTGTTTGTCTCAGGGGGTGGTGTGTGTGGACCTTGCTCACAGTCCAGTTAGGTTTATCCGATCTGTTAATCGAACATCCCGCCTGCCAAGAATTAGCAGCTGCCATCGTGCAGCAGGGATCAACACCTCCGTCCTCAGCACAACTCCCATTATAATGCCATTCCCGCCGTATTTCTCGCCCCCGGCGGCGAGCCCTCGTGAAACTCCTGTAACCTTTACAGGCAGCGTGGTGTGAGTTATCTCGCCCAGATAACACTTTCTTTGGGGTAACTTTAATAACTCTCATGTACATTATTTCCTGTGATATACAGTAATAACCTGCAGCTCCTCCATCTGCTCTCTTCATATCCTCCCACTTTATTTTCTACCATAAATCCAATTAACTATTGCCCTTGTGTCTGTTGCTACGAGACAACACACAAAGGAACGCCTCACGCTCCACAGCTATTACCATATTATCCACACATACAATAGCCTCATCTCATTTGTCTTTTTTCTTATCGAGTTATCCTCACACGTCATCATCACTATTCCGTCGTCTCGTGAAGCGAGCGCCTCCTCTCACGTCTGAAGGCCTCCACAGTTTCCGTTATCTTCACTTTGAACGTGCGGTTTTTCTGACTGTGCAGAGAAAGAGCTGGAGGTCTACCAGAGCATCGCTGACCTCACGGTGAAGGCCAAGGATCAGGCGGTTTTCAAGTGCGAGGTGTCGGACGAGAACGTGAGGGGAACCTGGTACAAGAACGGCGTGGAAGTCAAGGCAGACGCCAGAATAAATATCACACATATCGGCAGGTGAGGACGCCTTTACAGGTATCAGACACGCTGCGTATGTGGCGGGACATGACGAACTGAACTCTTCTGCATGTAGGAACCACAAACTGACCATCGATGAAGTCAAGCCTGAGGACGAGGGCGACTACACGTTCGTGCCCGACGGCTACGCCTTCAACCTTTCTGCTAAACTCAATTTCTTGGGTAATACTGATGCTTTCACTTTGTCAAAATCGACATCATTTAGGCCTCAAAAATGGAACTTGTACCTAAATGATTCTGTTTTTTCTCCATTTCTCAGAGGTGAAGATCGACTTTGTGCCACGTCAAGGTACACAACCACAGACCTACCGTAGTGACACCAGGTGGAGCAGAAGTCAGTCCATTAACCACTTACTTTGCTTTCTAAGACCCTCCTAAGATCCACCTCGACTGTATGGGTCGCACTGCCGAGTCGACCATCGTGGTGGTGGCTGGAAACAAACTTCGCCTGGACGTCCCCATCACCGGAGACCCAGCTCCCACAGTGATCTGGACCAAAGGAGAGAAGGTAGCACAGATACGAAGGCCCGTGTTGTTAACATCAGTGTGTCCATGTGTCCAGAGGGGTGGGAAAGATCTGAGGCTTCATTCATTATCAGATACATACCTGCAAATCTGATTAATGCTGCAAGTTCAAACTCAGAAAATGCAGCTGTAATATGATATAATAGAAGCAGAGGGGATGTATTTTCATCAGCTAATGCTACGGAGGCTGGACTAACTCGTGCAGCTGGCTGGGACGCTGCAGTGCTGCTAACAGCTCAAAGCAACGATGCCAACTAGCTGCTGGTCTTTGAAAGAGAGGTTTCATGCCCTCTCTTGGCTTTTTACTGCTTTGCTCTGCTCAAATGTAGGCTAGTTCTGTAAAACCTGTGGGAGAAGAGACAGGAGGAGACACAAACACGTGGACCGTGAAGGACGGGGAAGTAAGTGTGCATGTCTGAATATATGCCTGATTTCTGACTCTGGAATCAGAGTCGACAGCCGTGCCATCAGGCTTCTACCTTCCAGGATGTGTTTGTTCCTTCTTCTCATTAAACCAGACTGTACCAGGCGAACAGCTGCAGCCGGTGGAGAACGCCGTAGTGTTAGCACTTGACCTTTGGAAAGATAATTCCTTCATAACCCTACAGAACCGATCCTGCAGCTCAGTCGTATTGATCTGCTGCCTGAGGAAGAACATCCTGCAGCAGCAACAGCTAAACACATGCATGAAGAACATCTTCTCCAGCGGCTATCGGTGCACACGTGTGTTTTAAAGAACAGGATTAACCCTGTTCAGGACCGATGGGGTCTTTTGGACCCCAGGCCATGTGGTTTAGGTGACAGGTGTTGGTTTTTTATTTTAAATACAAAAAGAGGGACATGTGTCCTGCATGTGGAACCAAACATACGTCAGCTTATCAGAACATGGATTTAACATAAAGTCTATAATGAACACCAACACAGATTCTGCACAGATTCTTTCTTGGGGTCCAGTAAAAGACCGTCTACGTATGGAAACATGAAGGTCCTGGACAGGGTTAAAGTCTGCATGCAGCATGCGTCCATGTCAGTCAGCATGGTGTGGATCCTCCCTCAGGCGGACAGCTCAGAGGAACTGGACAGGAGGTACCACTTCCAGAGTTTTACAAAGTGAAAAAATCCATTTATACACATGATTGTTGAATCAAATGTAACATTGCTGTTTGAATTAACTGCCTCTGTTCTACAGTGTAAAAAATAATCTGCTTCTTTGTGCTGCACAATTCAATAACGGGCACCGCTGCAGCTGTGGGACTTCAGCTCAGTCAGTAAATGCACTCATAGGAACCTTCTTCTTCAAGCTGCAGTGCATCACTGTATGGACACAACTGCAAGATGTGAAACTTGTGAAACGTCCAACGCTGGTTCTGCATTTGCACGCTGACATCTGGAGTTGTATGTTCAAATCAGCATGTGCTGTATGCTCTGAAAGCTCTGAAAGCTCTGAAAGCTCTGAAAGCTCTGAAAAGCATGATTCTTCAGAAACTTTGTGTTGGAAAGTTAGCTCTTGCGTAGAGACTCTGCTTTGTTCCTGCTGTGTAGGTGATCACAGAAGGAGACGGCAGAGTCCATGTGGAAACCACCAAGGGTCACTGCATCTTCACTCTGGAGGGGGCAGAGAGGCAGGATGAGGGAATCTACTCGGTCGTGGTTCGAAACCCTGCTGGGGAAGACACTGCCGATATCAATGTGAAAGTTGTCGGTAAAGCAGAACTCCTCCGCTGTTCACTGTAGAGCACAGACGTCAGGTTTTATCATCACTGTGTCGCTAGAACCACAGAAGTCTCTTCATACAGTCATGAAACTAACTTCAGTTCCTAAAAATCTGTGAAAGCACTGATCACATGATCAATGTTTCCCCCCAAAGATGTTCCCGACCCTCCCCAGGCTCCCACAATCCTCAGCATGGGGGAGGACTCCTGCGTGGTCCACTGGGAACCCCCTCTGTTTGACGGCGGACAGCCGGTCATCGGTAAAAACGCATCAAAAGGCTTCTTTTGTTGACGTTATTTGCTGATTTCTTGGAACACACTTTGCTCCTCCTGTGATTCTCAGGTTATGTGATTGAGAGGAAGAAGATTAAGAGCTTCAGGTGGATGAGACTGAACTTTGACCCCTACCCCAAAACCACCTACGAAGCCCGACGAATGATTGAAGGCGTAGCGTACGAGATGCGAGTCTACGCCGTCAACAGCATCGGCATGTCTCGCCACAGTCCCGCCTCACAGCCGTTCGTGCCCATCGGTGAGTCTGTCGTCAGTTTCTTTCCGCGGCTGCATCACATATTCAGTAAAGCTGCTGTTGATGAGCACAGAGCTCATGAACGCTCGATCAAATGAGCCAAACAGATTCTTTCTGACGCGATGACGTCGACGTGTCTGCTGGAGTTTGAAGGGTCCGGTTCAGTCAGTCTAAGGTTTCACTCAGGTCACGCTCCTGATTGACTCGTGGTGGTGACAGGACGCGGCACGTTTACTGTGTCTCAGCTGTAATCCAAGTCTGGAGGTTCACAGACATGAGTAGCACCAACCATGAGGTGAGCATGTGTGTGCTACATGACCACATGGAGCCGGTAGAGGAGCCGGTAGAGGAGCTAGCTCTGCAGCGTACAACAAACCCAGCAGGGAATGAATCACCTTGAGAAGAGTCAGCAGAAGGCCTTCACTGTGTCGAGGTGGTGCCGTGACATGATTATGTTGAGAATAAGTTTCGGTAAGTTGTACTTATGTCAGAGATGGGAGCACTTGTTGTAGCTCGTTGTCGTTAAATTCAAACTGTTGGAGCTCTAAAGCTGAGTCACAGCAAACTGCCCCCAGTCAGCAGCACCACCAGGTCAGTGCAGTTAATATGTCTGGTTATGAAAAAACGACTTTATGTACAGATATATATGAAACGTTCCTGCGTCTCAAACACACTGAAGTTACAACAAGGCTGCATTAATGAGCATTTGAACTTGAACACTTGCTAGACGTCATTAAAGGCGACGGGAGGAAGGACTGCAGCGCTCACACCTGACACGTGGAGCGTCCATCCCCAGAAACACAGCGACGTACGGGAAGTCTGCTGCTCAGCCCCGCCCCACGCTGGACACTCTGTAGATATATTTTTGTTGAGTGCATCAGTTTTCAGCCTTTGTTATAGTTTTATGCAGCATTTGGAGTTACCATGGTAACAGCAGTGATTTAAATGGAAATCTGAGTGAATGTAAATTGATTTGAGAGGGAAGTTTACATCCGCCACTGAAATGGACCAGGTCACCTCCTTCTCCAGCATCTACACCTGGCTGGAGGAGGAGAAGCTGGACAAGAAACTCCACCTTTAGCCTCTTGTTCCCTCAACATGTTGTCACACAAACGCTGCAAATCACATCCACAACAGTCCGATTCTGAAGTGAAATGGCATCACAACAGCATCACTAACAGTCCCATGAGCCTTTGCACCCCTCAGAACTGTCAAATCTTTACCATGTTTCTAATGAAATGAGAATGCATAGAGAAGGCAGAGAAAGCTCAGTGCAGCAGGTAGACGGAGACGAGCATCTCCGCCCGGACGTTGTTTCCACCTGCAGCGTTAATGGTGCAAATGTTGTGGACAGATGATGAGAAACTATCACACCAGAGTCACAGAGCGTTAACTTACTCGATAAAGAGGTGCGAGTGTAGGTCAGGAGGCGCAGCGCTGGTGATTCGATCCTCGGCTTCGTCTGTCCACATCCTTGAACAAGACACCGACCATCTGTTTACTGGCCGTGACAGCGCTCCAAGAATTCAGCTTTGTGCTCTCCTGGACAAAGGCTGGGACTGACACAGCAGAGCCACAGACATCCACTTCATTCTTGTGTCTTTGCTTAAACCTGGTGCCTACATTACCCAGAATGCAACACAAGTCCTCCAACACCTGCAGAACCGAGCAAAGAGAATTACCGATCAAGTTCTGGACTTTGGTGTCAAATTTGTAACTTTTTTGATCATGACACTGCATTTGGTTTGTTGTTGTGTCGCACAGTCCTGATAAGAAACTTTATTTAATGATAATAAACTTTATTTAATGATAATAAACTTTATTTAATGATAATAAACTTTATTTTTTGAGCCCTTTTTAAAACAAATGTTACAAAGTGCTTTCCAATAAAAATAAATAAAAAATTGAAATAAAATAAACACACAGAATAACTGATAAAAGTATAAATCACACAAATAGAGTAAGAAGCTGAAACATAAAAGCTCTTTGATGAAAATGTGTTTTAAGAAGAGACTTAAAGCACAGAACCAGCCGTGTCCTGTTGATACGACGGAACTGAAGAACGTTCTGGATGTAGATCAGCTTCATTTTGTCAAGCACATTATAAATTAAACCTAAAATAATTTACAACAACCTGTCCAGGGTGTCCCCTGCCTTCACCCTCAGTCAGCTGGGATGGGCTCCAGTCCCCCCGCGACCCTCGTGAGGATTAAGTGGTGTATAGAAAATGGATGGATGGATAATTTATAACAAATAATTTCTGATAATAAGAAGAAAACATTTAAGATCAGAGGAACACTTCAGATTTAAGTTCATGTCTGATCCTCTCTCCCTGACGAGTCTGTTTCCGTCTCCTTCTGACCAAACCGTCTTTATTGAAGATGTGCTTTTGAACAGTCTGGCCATAAATCTGCTGTAAACACGTCAGAGAGAAATCTGCCGTCCAGCCATCAATCCACCGCTCCACCTTGACACTCTGACTTCTGTCATCCTGGGACAGAACCAGGAGCTGATCACAGTGAAGTTCATTTTGCTTCATTCTGTCTGAGTTACAGACCAATCAGAGACAGTGTGTTCGCAGCAGTCTGGGACACGGTTTGTGGTTGAATCTCGTAATTCAGGGGCTCAGGTTTTGATCGTCTCTTACTCGGTCGCTGATTTTTTAACTACCATCTCATCCTCCACTTGTTGATTTAAGAGGGAACATCATTGCATCCAGATGGCCAATCGCTTGTAAGACAGCTGATTAGGAAACTATCCATGGCATCCTTCTCTATAAATATTGGCCTGGAAGCCCTCGACTCTGCAGGGACCAGCTGCTTAACACAGAGGGGTTTGTTGCTACTGTGCAGAAGAAGTATTGTTGTTACTGCAGCTAAGAGAGGACGGGGTGGGCGGCTGCCAGCGACAGAGACAGAGAATGAGAGCATAGGCCAGAGGAAGACGAACACAAACAGCTTCGATCAGCAGCAGGACGGCAGCACAGAGACAGGATGACCAAACCCAAGCTGCCCAAGACGGCTGAGAAGAAGCCAGTGGAGGAAAAGAAACCAGTGGAGGAAACATCAGCCGATGCTCCAGCAGAGGCTCCAGCAGAGGCTCCAGCAGAGGCTCCAGCAGAGGCTCCAGCAGAGCCCGAAGCCAGCAAGGCTGAAACCGAAGCCCCTCCACCTCCGGAGCCAGAAGCCGGCAGTGAACCACCGGCAGCCGCCCCTGCAGAGGAAGCCCCCAGCGGAGAGGCGGGAGCTCCAGCTGAGAATGAGGCTCCGCCAGAGGAAGGTGCCCCCCCGACAGACAGCGGTGCCCCTGCAGAGGAGGGAGCGGCACCCCCGGCCGAGGAGCCCCCCGCCGAGCCAGAGCCAGAGCCAGAGCCCGTTTGCAGTAGGCGTCATTTACTTTCACATGTTATCATTTAGAACAACAAATCAAACGTGTTCATATGTGTAGGAAAACTGCTTCCCTGATTCTCAGAGGTGCACATGCATGAAGGTTTGGCTCAGGGGTGGAGGTGTGGGTGTTGCAGGGTCCCGCTGGGAGTGTTTAAGCCTCCGTTGTGCTTTTACAAACAATCCTGCCCGGCACCTTTAGTCCCTGCTGCGGTGACTTTCTACACGCATGCAAACCCTTGACCTTTGACACGAGCTCCCATCATTTGCTCCCATCGTATACTTAGCTTGTGTCCCGTGACAGCAGAGCTCCAACCTCAGTGACGACAAGGTCACCGCTAACATTTGACACCTTTCAATCTGTCCACATGCTGTCGACAAGCTGCTGCAACATCATAAAATTTACGGTTGACTAAATTTTACCGAGGAAGGATGATGTGATGTTTACGTACACCTGCACAGTCAGTCGTATCTGCACCACACCAAGAACTCGCCTCCAGCTCTGCGCTCGGTACCAAGTCATAGGATGATGCTGCTTCTTCGGGCTGCCTTGGCCGTGAGTTTCTGCTGAAATCATTTTGGTTTCAGCGACTTGTCAGTTCTCTGATTAGTCAGTGAGTCATACCCAAACATCTCAAAGTCATCTCAGGCTGCAGCCCACATGAAAATACTCAAGTTTAAAAACAAAAGAACAGTGAAGACACGGTGTCAGTTTGTGTCGGAGTGCTGGGAGGACACATCTGGGATTCCTCTCCAAGTCATTTTGAACATCAAAGACTTGATGCATTCTGGGGATTTTTCCATTTCTGCATCAGTTTATGGTGGAAAAGTCTTTATTGATGGAAATGAAAACAGAATTCAGGCACGACATCTCTGTTCAACACATAGCAGAATCTATACAGATGATCGGTTTAAGTATTGAGCTGCATGAATCCTCTGCGTCTCCTCCAAACTCCACACCAGTGGCTGAGCGCATCGACAGCATGTTTATATCACAGAAGACATATGAGGAGTAAAATTAGCAGCTGGTGGCTTCACACTGTTTTACATGGATTCAGACGTTCATACTGAAGAACCTTGAAGAACCGGTCCTGTCGGCTCGCAGAGATGAGCTCTCCATCTCATTGTTCTTCTTCACAACTGATTTGCGGCTCCGATGTCACAGCTGGCCTTTGTGTTGTATAGAGTGGTTCTACAGTGTTTGAGTGGAGCCGGTGTGCTCGAGCTGCTCTGAGCCATCAGGGTTGAGTGTAGAAGAGAAGCTCTGGGTCCATGCCTGTGATGCATCCAGCTTCAGACTTTCATAGAAGAACTTCAGCGTTCACTGACTGAAGAGAGACTTTGTCACCGTGGAAACAGAGACGAAGCTCTGATTGGACAACATCGGCTTCGCTTTGTCTTGAGTTCTGGTCTTTTCTTGTTTGAAGCCGAGCTGCACAGATCACTCAGGTCTTTACTGCTCCAGATGTCTGGAGTCTCAGGAGGCTTTCATCTGCTGCTTTATGCTGAACAAGCACAGTTTATACATGTGCTGCTCTGCTGTCATCTTCTGTTCTGACAGAGTTAAATGTAAAGGATTGATCTGTGACGTCTGTCGGTGGTCGTCATGCACATCTTTACTCCACAGAGTCCTCAGCAGCCGTCCTGATGAGAACGTTGATCGGTCATGTGGAGTCTGTGCAGCTAAAGTTCATCATGACGCCAGTTTTCTGTCCTCAGAGTGTCGTGTGGGTCGGAACCGCTGAACCAACCGTCTTTTAATGCAAACAGAAACCAAAGTCCAGCAGCTACATGTAGGTCAGCTCGTGTTTCACTGGATGAGAGAAGATCCATCACATGGCTTCCAGGCTGATCGGCCGTCTGATCACCGCTCATGTACCCACATGTCTAATATCTGTTGTCATGTGAAGTAGCTGTGAAGCTGCACACAGCCCACTTCTGCCACGTCCAGAAAATACCGGGCTTATTAGTTTATATAATAGTAATAATAATGATGATGATCTTTATTTATGGAGCACTTTTTTTGTATTTGGCATCAAACTACAACGTTCAGGATTCACGACACAGAGATCAAAAAGTAGTTTTACTGGAAGAAATAAAAGACAGCGCAAAGAAAACTGTAATCAGATTACTTCTGACAACACTTGCTCCCCGTCCATCACTCCAGAGCCTCGAGGCTTCAGTTCTGTGCCCTGAAGCAGAAACAGACCTGCTCAATGTGCTCACTGGTGCATGAGGTTCTAGAGGTCAGAAGAATACCTGGGATAGAAGCCTAGAGAACCTTCACAGCTATCACAGAACCAGAGCGGGGGCCAGAACAGGAGTGACGTGTTCATGTTTCTTGGTTCTGGTTAAAAGTCTGGACTAGCCTGGAGCCAATCAGTGGCTTTCTATTCATCTGTTTGGAGCATTTTTGCCTTTATTGTGCAGCGAGCAGTGAACAGACTGACAGGAAAGGTGTGAAGGCCTGGAGCTGTTCAGCATCACCTGTAAGCAGGAGCCTCACAGGTCACACAGCACCCAATCAGAAATCACTTCCTGTCACTGTACAGCTCCTGCACGTTAGGAACCATGTGGACAGAAGCAGTGAACACCCATAAAGCCACATACGCCCAAATCACAGCCTGCTGCCCTCAAGAAAGAGGTACCGGTCCATCCAGGCCCGCACATCCAGACTCACCCACACGCTCTACCCAAGTGCAGTATGGGTACTGAACACACACTCCAGTCTATAGCCTGAACTATTGATCACATGTATTTGTTATTTCTATTCTATCCTCGTTACCTTTTAAAGATCCAGGCTGACTCGCCTTCGTAGCAGCTCTGTGCTCCGTATCAACGTGTACCATATTATATATAGTATATATTATATACAACATAGCATATGTTATATATAATATATATCGTACACATATATACTATATTATGAATGTATGATCCCAGAGCTGACTGACGCCTGATGCTGCACCAGTCACCTTCAGGACACAGTTCAGTTCCAGCACTAACACCAACACACTTCCAATACTTTGCATCATATCAACTGAATGAATACTGAAGAATATGTGAGTTTTATCTCATTGGATGACGTGAGTAATTTGATTTTGAACCTTTACAGATGAACCTATTGTGTGATAGCTGGGTTGTGTTGAAGGTTTTATCTTTATCTATTTGCTTCAAGGTTCCAGGTGACTTTACTGGTACCTGCAGGTAGAGCTGTTCTGCAGCAGCAGGAGACGGTTCTGACAACCCACACAGACGTTTAAAACACAGGACAGTAGAACAGCACAGCTCACTGAACAAGATTAAAAGCCAAGTAAAATAAAAGAGCCACTAAAATGCCAGTAAAACCCGTCAGCAGCACGATGCACAGGGACGATAAAGACATCACACCGGCTCCCGTTGAATAGAAATAAATAATAAGATTACATGAAATAAATTCAACTTGTCTGTTGTCTCGCTGAGCTCAAGAGGACAAACAGATGAAATAATAATAATACTACTTTAGAAAAATACCCCCAACCAGAGCATGTGATGCTTCCAGAGGTCGGTGCTGCTGCTGCTGTCTGACAGCAGCCGGTACGGAGCTGAAGACATGGTTTCATAATATAATCATAATCATTAGTCATCTAAAGAGGACACAACTATAGCCCAGAAATACTCCAACACGTCATACACCACAGTTCATCTGGGCTGGTTTCAACAAGAAGCCATCCTTGTAAATCTAAGAATAATTTTTCATTTCAGAGACTCGGTCATCACTGAAGCTGTCCAATAACATCCTGTGTGTGTGTCACGTGATGAAGAACTCGTTCTTCATGTTCAGGAGCTGCTGCTGCTTCTAATGACGTTTACCAGAGACTGTATTGTGAAGCCTTCAGCTGTGTGTCAGTTATCACTGTGTCCCTGTGTCTGAAGTCACCTTCAAGGAGGCAGAACAAGGGACAGAAAAGTAAAGTTTGGCTGTGAGATGATGCTGTTACGAAGCTGTGTGACTTCAGGTCATTCCTGGTTGTGTTCATCCAGGAATTCCTTCACTGTTTGTTGCCTTTAATGCTCTAACGGACTAACAGGGGCCTTTATCTGCCCTCTCAGCCCCGACCAGCGAGCCCATCGGACTGTGTGTCGACGACGTCAGCGACACTTCCATCGTGCTGAAGTGGCGGCGGCCTGAGAGGATCGGCTCGGCTGAACTCGAGGGCTACGGGGTCGAGTACTGCAAGGAGGGCAGTGAGTGCTGGAGCCGGCCGCCGCATGCTTCTGATCAGGCTTTATTTTTATAGCACACAGCATCAGAAACCATCAGTCTGCACAGCAGGGCAGCCAGATGATCAGACACCAGGAACACATGTCCTTCCTGTCTCTACAAATCAGTGTTCAGTCAAATCAGAACCAGGACGTGATGTGAATCGTGCCTTTAACCCGCTGTGTGTTTACAGCTGATGAATGGATCCCAGCCATGGAGGGTCTGACAGACAGGACATCAATGACCATCAAAGATCTCACCACCGGAGACAAACTGCAGTTCCGTGTCCGGGCCTACAACACGGCTGGACCCAGCGCTGCCGCCACTCTGGCCCAACCCGTCACCATCAGAGAGATCATGCGTCAGTATCCAGAGACCGCTGGACTCTCTGCTTCAGCTTCCTGTCTGGGCTTCAACAGGCCAAACACTTCTCCTTGTTTGAACTCCTCCTTCTTTCATTCATCTCATTTTGGTGGTTTTTCTTTTGCAGAACGTCCTAAAATTTGGCTCCCCAGAAACCTTCGCCAGACTCTCATCAAGAAAGTCGGAGACACCGTCAACATTGTGATTCCGTTCCAGGTATGAATCGATCTGAATCCACCACACAGCTCGGACTCGTGTCTGGCTGCAGCAGGAGCGCTGATAATGACACACCTCATTAATACACACATGATGTGTCGTGAATGATCCAGCATCACCGACACAGAAACAGGTAGTGACCCGTAACCCCGACACATCCACCCACCATCTATACACCGCTCATCCTCACTACGACCGCTGACCCCGACACATCCACCCTGAGTCAGCTGGGATAGACTCCGCCCCCCATGACCCTAGTGAGGACTAAGGTGTAGAGATGATGGATGGATGGTTTTGGATCATCGCTGGAGGACGAGTATCTATATTCTTGTGGTCACATATTTCACAGGCCTGGTTGGATTTGAGGCGTTTCTTTTCCGTTCCTGGAGTAAAAATATGAAGTTTGATGTGAGGTTGGTGCCAAAGAAAAGGTCAATGATACAATAAGCTTTGATGAATCCCAGAGTGAGGACATTTGCATGGTTAGAACAACAGAGGGGATGGTCCAAACACTTCAGAAATATCAGTAGAACATTTTAAATAAACAAAAAAATGCACATAAGTCATGTTTTTTTTTTTGTCATATGTGGATATTTAGATGTAGTGATCATATTGCACATATCAGTAGTATTTCACAGACCCTTTAATGAGCAGAAACACTGATAAAGAAGTATTAATATTGCACAGATCTGATCTGTTTATCTCACCTAGCATGCTAACCTCTATGTTAACTTGAAGGCTAACTGTTAATAGGAGCTGGACCAGGTGGTGGAGCTACGTAGAAAGTTAAGGTATCGCTACGATCATTAGGATCCATCTTTGGAGGACCAGGAATGTCTGAAGCAGATTTCAGGGGAACTTGCTCAAATGTTGTCGAGATGTTTCACCTTCAACCAAAATGGTGCGTTGACAGACTGACACAGATCCCACAGCCACAGGAAGCATCGTCATGTACCTGAAAACGTTTTCAGATTGTTATAAGGTTGGTTTGGGTGTCTGTCATTCATAGATGGACACATAAGCTGCAACCCTTCCTTCGTCTCTGCTGGTCTTGCAGGGTAAACCCAGGCCCAAGGTAACATGGAGCAAAGACGGGGAGGCCCTCAGCCCCCAGTTCGCCAGCGTGAGGAACAGCGAAATTGATACGATCCTCTTCATCCGCAAGACGGAGCGGAAGCACTCGGGGCAGTACGACCTCCAGGTGCAGATCGAGAACGTGGCGGATACGTCTAAAATCATGCTGCAGATTGTTGGTAAGCAGGACTGAAAACACGTAGGACTTCCTGTGAGAATCAACAGGAAAAAAATGAAGTCTCTGTCATAAACTGTTGCTCTAAAGACGTTTCCAAAGAACTGCTTCTCCTGTGTAGATCTCCCGGGGCCTCCACAGGCTCTGAAGATCGTGGATGTCTGGGGATTCAACGTGGCGCTGGAGTGGAAGCCACCGAAGGACAACGGTAACTGTGAGATCACCGGTTACAACATCCAGAAAGCTGACAAGAAGACCATGGTGAGCCTCGACACCCATGGGTCCTGGTTTTTATGTATTGTTCAAGCACCAGTGAATGCAAATTAATTGTCAAATAAACCAGAATGCGACCAGAAGACGTGTTGATACGAGCTCCCACCGGTGGTGTCCACATGTTGTTCCACCAAATGATGAGAATCTAAAGTCCAGTGCAGCAGTCCAGGAGATGTCTTCCCTGCACTGGACACTCTGTGTAACCTCAAAAAGCACTTTTTCCTCTTGTCATGGTAATGATGCATCACATGATGGCAGTTAGCAGCAAGTCTTCAATAGTCCAGTTGGGTTTTAGACTCATCAATTCAAATTCAATTCAATTCAATTCAGTTTTATTTGTATAGCGCATATTTACAACAACAGTCATCTCATAGCGCTTCACAAAGGCAGAAACAGAAACACCCAACAATCCAAACATCTGGATTCTCTATAAGCTTCAGCAGTCTGCTGGTGGGACGGAACCAAAAACCCCCACAGGGGGAAAAAAACCTCCGACAGAACCAGGCTCAGGGAGGGACGGCCATCTGCCTCCACCGGTTGGGTGGATGTAGGATGAATTATACAATTCATCAGAACAGCACCAGTTCCCAGCCGTTTATTCTGTGGTTAGCCGATGCGAGGCCCGTAGTCTCCTCTATGGGCCAGTAGTGATGCATTCGGACCTGCTGGCTCCGACCGCCACCATCCTCCACCTCGAGCTGCCAGCAACACTGTCCGCCTGGAATGTCCTAATCTTATCCTTGTAGCCTTGACCTGGTCCGGATCGTCTGTGCGGTGACGCATGGCCATTGTTCTGCTGCCAGCGTGGCCGACGGTTCATGTTTCACTGGAGTCATTATTAGATCAAATTAATTTCACTTGCAACACGCTGAGCTTAGGGATGCTGCTCATCATGTTACCTGCTACATGGCACAGATAACAGTGCTGAGGACACGTGCACTTTAAATCCACCCAGATCCTATTTCAGTCTTGTACCGAAATGAATAAAATGTGAGCAGTTACGCAGCTGCTTTGGTTTCAGGTCCATTATGAAGGTGACTGGATGTTTTAATGAGAGCGAACTCTGGACAGCGTTAAACAGTGCTGGCAATATGAATGTGTGCCGATAGGTGACAGAAAGAAAACCAACCAATAAGGATATACTTCAACCTCTAGAAGTCAGTAAAACTCTGCTGCAGGGATGGAGGCCCGTCTGGACACTGAACCACTGCTCCCCCAGCAGACTGCATCATGACTGTTCTGCACTCATTTGTTCACGTCTCCTTTCATTTGTCACCTACTTGTACAAAACAAACCATTTACTGAAGCAGAAGACCAGCCTCTGAAGCCTTTCTTGTGTTTCATCTGAAGGAGTGGTACACCGTCTACGAGCAGTACAGGAGAACCAACTGCGTCGTGTCCGACCTCATCATGGGAAACGAGTACGTCTTCCGAGTCTTTGCCATCAACCTGGTGGGCCTCAGTCAGGATCCCTGCGAAACCAAAGACAGCGTTTTCATCCACAAAACAGGTGAGTTGTGACCGCTCATACATGAAGATACAGAGCAGTCGTCATAGATACAGAGCAGAGGGACAGCAGGTGAAGCAGCTGATGGTCTGTCTCCTCAGGTATCGCGTACAAGCCGCCCACCTACAAGGAACACGACTTCTCACAGGCGCCCAAGTTCACACATCCTCTGGTGAACCGCTCCGTCATCGCCGGCTACAACGCCACGCTCAGCTGCTCCGTGAGCGGAATACCGAAGGTCAGGAGGGTCAGACTTGGTCCAGAACGTCTGTGTTCCATCACAGACGCAAAGCTGCTTTCTGTGGTCAAAGATGGTTGATAATAGCAGGAAGATGTGAGGGGGTTCTAATGAGGTCTGGATGGAACGGTTCCAATCTCATGACGTCAACTCAAATGTATTCATATCACATGTTGAAGTGTTTTACATGATGTAGGTCAGGCAGCAGCACCAGAACAAATCCATGTAAAAGAGAATCAGACAGAATAAAACATGAAATCAAGGCAAAGCAGGATAACAGAATAAAACAGACATGAAGCTGAAAACCATGAGGACCTCTGAGAAATGTCAGCACAAGAGGTTTGGTTGTGAGGAGAAGCTTTGGAGCAGCGGCTGCTCCCAGGAGTCCATTCAGGCCTTCACGCCTTCCCTGATAGGTTAAAGATTAACTCCAGACTCCAAACCAAGTCCACTGACTGTCCAGGTTCTCCACCAATCAGCTGAGAGCCGAGAACGAGCTGCATCATTTTCATTGGTTCAAAAACACACAATAACTGAGTGAAGGTAAAGAATCAAACCACACACACACACACACACACACACACACATGTACACACACACACACAGACACACACACACATGTACACACACACAGACACACACACACACACACACAGACACACACACAGACACACACACACACACACAGACACACACACACACTCTGAGCCTGTTCTTGCTGACATCTGGGGATTAGTCGTCGGTGATAAACACCCTGTCCTCAGTGAAACCGGATCCACCAGACAAATCCGTGGTTCTGATCGTTACGATTGGACCAGATCGTGTCTTAATGGTACAACAACATCACAAGTATTAAAATATCAGCTGACACACTTTGTCCTGCCCCGTTAGCCCAAAGTGACCTGGTACAAGAACAAAATGGACATCTCGCACGAGGCCAAGTACCGAATGCTCAGCAAGCAGGGCGTGCTGACGCTGGAGATCCGAAAGCCGTGTCCGTTCGACGGCGGGGTGTACATGTGCAAGGCGGTCAACGACAGCGGGGAAGACATCGTGGAGTGTAAGCTGGAGGTTCGCCGTAAGTATCCTGCTGCAACGCATGTGTCCTCGTTTCTCATGACCCACTTAGACTCCATCCTCCCTCTTCTCATCCTTTAAAAATAACTCATTGTGTCGGTCCGTCCAGAAGGAATAAAGAAGGTGCGTTCAGTGCATTTGATCAGAAGCCACAGTAAACAGAACATGAACTCAGAGCCTGTAGCCGCCTGGAGGAACAACTGACAGCCAATCCTTTGTTTCTTCATTTCTAAGATGTTTCCAGGAAAGAACTGCGTGGTTCTGATTAGAGGACAAATAGGAAATTCCCTCAGACGACTGGAAACTATACAGTAAACCCAAACAAATGTTGAAAAAAGATTCCTAACACAAGACCCAGCTAATGTGTTGTTTCACATCTTGCCTCATGTGGCTGCACAGTTGGGACTCATTATCAGACCTCAGGCCTCCAGATGTGGTCAAATGTGACAGAAGTTAGTGTTCCGGGTTCTGTTGCATTTGTTTTCTGTGATTTGTGGTTAGAGAACAAACATACAAGTTAATCAAATAAATATTCTCTCAGGGTTTTGTTTATTAGCAGAATATTTGCTGGTGTCTTGACAACACCGTCGTAGCTTCTCAGGGACTTCTAGGAACTGACAGAGCTGTAAAATGCTTCTTTAAAAGGATAAATCTTCTGGTTGCTATCACAGCTACCTCATGAATCTGCTGCTTACCTGCATCGTTAACGTGTGATAACGAGTTCGCCGCTTTACTGGCAAAGTTTTATTCCAGCATGCTTTAAATCAACCTGCTGGAGTCTTTACGTAAAGAAACTGATTTATCTGTCTGCATATAAAACCTTTAAAGAGTTCAGATTTAAAGGAGCCTTCATCGATATTTTTGTGAAAACCTGACCGGTGTCACTGGACTCGAGTCCTACAGGTCAGAGCGCTGACGGGTCGGAGCGCTGACGGGTCGGAGCGCTGACGGGTCTCAGCCCACTGACGCTCAGTCTTCTGTAAGAGCTGGTGAACATCACTGAGACGGTAACGTGATGTTTCTCTCAGGAGGTGGAGGAGACCAAAAACAGAGCAGAAGTTTGCATCCGCTGATCAGCTTACACCGTGATGACGTGTCAGCACAACTACACACTGTGTAGCTTCTGCTATTGTGGGTTCAAAGCAGCGTACTGGAGCTTCTGGCCGATGTGAAGGTTTCTGATTCACAGAGAACCGATTCAGCTTTTGTTCACACAGAAAAATGGGAATAAGTCAGCACTGTGAGAAACTATTCAGAAGAGGCTCAGATTAGACACGTCGTCGTCTGTATTACGTAACAAAACATATTTAAACATATTTAACGTTCAAGAGCATTCAGGTGAAAACATCTGTGAAACAGCAGCGATATCAGACGTAGAGACGAAGGCGCTGACGTCAGACCATCATCGTTTTGTTTCGGTTTGTTCATCGGACCGGACCGACATATGGGAAACACACTAACGTCGGCCGGTACCGGTGTCATCCCTGGTTTAAAGTGAGCGTGTGATGCTTCATTTTCAAATCTTCTGTCCTGATTTTTATGGTTTTTTTTCTGGGTTGCAGCTCAAATTCCAAAGGAAGAAAAGAAAGATGCCAAGAAGTGAAGCCACCAGCTGAAGAGAGGATCGATGTCTCTGCTCCCTGTTTGAGGAACTCTCCACAAACTGTTCACCCAGAACCTCTGCAGGCATCACGTCCTCCTCACCGTTAGGCCACTAGACTGCCAACGACAACGCTTCGTTAGCAGGGAACTGTCAGCATCGATGTTCTAATTAAAAATACTTCATGGTTCTGTTCATGTCAGAGATCAGATGTGACCGTCGTGGTGTTCAGTAAATCTGGCAGAACTCATGGAGCTCGTTTGTGATTTGCTGTCCTGTTTCTCACTTGTTTCAGTTGATAGAAGGTACAAATGAATAATGTTTGGATTGGTGTGTGTGCATAAAAACTGCTTCAAAACACAGCGTGATTTCATTCAGTCGTGTGAATACCGGCGGTGTGGTGCTGCCGGCGCGGTGCAGAGGTGGGCCTCATCATGAGAGCACAAAGCGTGCCATTGATACCCAGAAGTCCCCTGGAATGGACAAGACTTGTTGAGAGCTTAGTTTTATTGTAGCAAAGCCTGGCTAAAGCCTGAGGTGCGAGGCATGTGGCTAATGAGCACAGCACAGAGGGCTGGAATAGCTGCCATGTCCTTTAGCCGCCGAGGACGAGGGCGGCGGAGAGCAACAGGCTCTCGTCTGGCGAAGCCCGCCGCAGCGTCGCACCACAGCGATGATGCCCTGAATGTAAATGTTTCCTCTCATACAGCTGAGAAACGTCCAGAGAGCCTCGTTTCACGTCTCAGCGTCGCTGACGTGACGGATGTCGTCCGGCTCCCCGGAGTTTCAGGCATCACCAACGGCAACACGGGTCAGCGCTAAACACGACTTATCACACGCATGTCTGTTTGCTTTCTGTAATCCCAGACGTCACCAAGTCACAGCTCGCTGCAGCGGAGACGGGAGGCGGCGGCGGAACATGAGTGGGCTGGAGGTGAAAGCGTAAAACGCCGCTGAATGGCACAAACGGCCGTGACGACAATCCTGGAACCTTTACTGTGGTTCTGATGAGCAGCTTCAACAGGAAACAGTTCAGCAACGGGAGAAGTCGATAGTCGCAGCTCTGTGAAGCCAAACCAGCAGAAACACGAGACGTGGTCCAAACGCTGGAGCTTCAGGAGCATCGACATCGACTCACAGAAGAAAAGAATCAAAAGAACCAAAACATCTTGTTATCAATCAGTTAAATTCATTCAAAAGGCTTTTAAAATAGTTCACTTGTTGTTTCAAGATAGACTAATTATTATTAATAGGAGAAATCAGAGTGTTTAATAATGGAAAGGCGGTACTAGTTCTGTACTAGCTACAGAAGTTCTGACCCGTGTAGACAACCTTCACTAAACATTTAAAAGCCCCCAAAAATACACAGAATCTAATTTAAACTGACATGAAAATGTCTATTAGTTATGGTTAATTGCTTTATTTTTATGACACGGTTGTTTTTGTGTGCCCTGGCTGCTGGATGACAACAGGAAGTGGTTTTCAGACAGTGGTGTCTGTCAGAGGTTTCCTCAGGAGCTTCTGCTTTGTTTTTTCATGTAGTCACAGAGACGTTCAGGTCAGAACTGTGTGACGCCAACAGTAAGTTCTCCTCATCTGCACCACTCAGCATCAGGTTGCTAACAAAATGCTAACATGCTAATGCTGAGCATTATGTTCAGCATGTTTGCTCCTTAGCTTAGCATGCTAGCATCAGCTTTGCAGGCTTCTCGTCAAAGCTTTGACCTGATTGGCTGATGTCAGGGCTTAAGTCAAGGTTTCACTAAAGTTACGTGATAACTTGTGAACGTCACGTCTGAGCTGGAGGAGAATCAGAGCATCAGCAGAGAGACGCATCATCTGAACCACGACTGCAGAACATTTAATCTAATACAGGGGTGTCCAGTCCTGGTCCTCCAGGGCCACAGTCCTGCATGTTCTAGATGTTTCCCGCTCTGCAGAAGCCTGATAACCATCCTGGTCATTGAATCAGGTGTGTTGGAAGAGGGAAACATCTAGAACATGCAGGACTGTGGCCCTGGAGGACCAGGACTGGACACCTCTGATCTAATAGTTGTTGAGACGTTCAGTTTCTGGCCCATTCTCAACGTTACTGTCAACTGAGTTTCACTGTTGTCCCTTCAGTGGGTGAACACCTGGACAGTACTCAGTTTGGAGAAGAAGAACAACGTGTTTCTCACATCTCGATTCCTTCCTGGACCTTTAAATGAACTAAATGTTCTGCTGTAGCTGCAGCAGCCTCAGACATCTCCACAACTCCAGTCTGACCCGGGACACAAACGCTACATCACAAGTGGTTGTGTTCGTCTAATTTTATTCATTCACAATTTAAAGGATTATTCGAACAGAATAAAAACAATTTGGGGAGATCTCACATGAAAAACTACAAATAAGATTGAATGAAAACTGAAGTGAGATATTTTATATAATCTGTATTATTCTGCACGTTTGTATCTAGAAAAGATAAAACAACATTTTCATAGTTTATAGTTTGGTGGTTAAAAAAATAAAATCACAGTATACAGTACATAGATTCCTCCCACAATTTGCACGTAACTACGCGTCAACATAAAGCCGAGAACAGAGAGTAACAAGTTTTTCATTTACAAAGCACTGCTGGTCGCCGCTACAGCTGAGGAGGTAGCTTCCTTAGTTAGCATCCCATTCTTGATTACTGGTTTTCTTTTCAAATAATTTACATTTAAAAAAGAAAGAAAGAAAGAAAGAAAGAAAGAAAGAAAGAAAGAAAGAAAGAGCAGAGCCTACTGAGAAGCGTGGACACGTCCAGCAGATGGACTTCAGGCGTCTCCAGCAGTCAGAGGACGTGTTGGTTTGGGGCCAGAACGTCGTTGAAACAGCGTTGAAACAGAAAACACATGAAAATGAAACGGTGCATTATGAGAGACAGGAGAAGGTCTTGTTGGTGAACGTTTCCCTACATCGCCTACATTCCTGAGCACTCACACACCATGTGCACTTGTGGCTACTTGCTCCGAGGGCGTGTCCGCCTTAATGTGTACAGTCACGCTCCGGCACACCAATCACCAGCAGCCGCTCCACACAGCCTCAGTCAGGATCCCAACACACACCGTTTGCTTTACAAGGTAACTGTAATAATGCTCTTGTGATGACCTACACAGACTGAAGCTAGTGAAGTGAAGGAGTCCTCGTGTCTCCAGCCTGGGCCTTGTTTGCTGCTCTTGTGCCATCATGTGAACATGTAGCTGTACGTGGTGCAAGCTGCAGATACTCGTCTTTAAATGTCTGCGGGTGAATAATAATCAACCACGTTTCAGTTCCACTGCTCCAGGTTTTTCTGGCAGCGCTCACACGCCATCTTGTTGACTCAGCTGGTTGCCGGTCTTGTCCTGCGTTCGGGTCACGTGAGAGGAAAGCGGGATTACATTCATGTGTTTAACTTGGATGCTACGAGTCGCTGCTCGCGAGCCAACAATCTGTCTGATGATGAGTTTAGACGTACGTCAGGCGCTCCTCTCACAAGTGTGAATACAGTCGGTTTAGGTTTTGGGATTTCCTGTTTTCGTTTCCTGTGTGTTTTGTCCTTTTCGTGACGCTTTGGGGGATTCTCTGTGGAACACGGAGCCGGCTCCTGTTCAGCTCAGCACAGAGTGAAGTGTGGAAACAGGCCTGCTACTTCCCTCCACTTCCTGTCTGTATGCAAAGCTAAGCTAACAATAGCTTCACATTCAGCCACAGACCTGTGATGAGCTCCTCATCTCACTCACTGCAAAACAGCAATTCAGCACATTTCTCACAACACAGGATTACTTCTGACTGAATGTGACTTCAACCATCAACACTTAGCTTTGATTAACAGGAACCTCCTCCTGAACGGGTCGCTAGAACTCGCCGTGCTGAGCAGAGCAACGAGTCCACAAGCGTTCTGTACATCACATGAAAGCAGATTTCACTCCAGCGTTCTGGGCGTCTGATGTGCCGCTCGGCTCGCTGACGAACACAAAGACACACTCTGATCCGAATCAAACAGCACGACGGCAGAACCGCAGACAACAAGGCCCAGGTTCTGAAACCACCAGAACTCTCCTCCAGACAAATGAAAGTAATGACCTAGATCAGTAGAGAGAGAAGAGCTGCTGTTACAGCGTAGGGCGTATTTACCTGTCACACACCTGAACGAGTCTCCGCCCACACACTCCTGCTGCTCACACAATAAATACCAAACAGTGGCGTCTGCTACGTTCATCACATTCTTAGTCTTGGGAGCTTAAAGCAGAGACGTGTTTCATGACAGACTGCTGTTTGCCGTCCTCACGCTGGAACCATCCAGCAGGCAGGAGATACCATCAGAACCGCCCGGCTCGCTCAACACCACCTGAAGCTTACATTCACACAAACACACGTCTAGAGTGATGAGGACACCTGCTACATGTACGGACAAAACAAATCAACGTAGAAAATCAACAGCTGCTGTGGAGAATCTTTAGAAATTGACAGGATGTGTAATAATTAAACAGCTTACAGGTAAAACAGAGAAACCACAGAACCTCTGACACGCCGAGGCTCACGTCACCATGACGACCACCTGGAAGCAAGAGGCAGGCACTGCTGGCAAGATTCTCCTCTGCAATCCTCTGTCGACCAGTTAGTAGCGTGACAGTTCACTACACCTGGTCTCAGTTCCCTTTAAATGATCGCTAGCATCTCTGCTAACAGTAAGAACAAACCTAAGTGCTGATCGCAGGGCAGTTGGCACATCTTGTTGTCTTGATATAAAAGTGTTTATATATTCTTGTAGCGTCTAGATTCACATGTCAGAGGTCTGTGCACGCAGACGTACCGGAGCTCTGCAGCGTCCTAGTCCTTGACTCGAGGTATGTTGTATGAGTAGTGTACGAGAGGCAGGCCTCTGCTCTGACAGAAGCAGGCTCTGCCACAGGCCTGGACCTGGTCCGAGCTGTCCGACACAAACGAGTCGCCCTCGTCGGCGTACTCGGACTGAGCAGAGGGCGTGCCGCTGTCGGCCCAGAACCCCTCAGAGCGCTGGCACACTGCGGCTCCGGCCAGCAGGGTGGGACAGCTGTGAGACTTCACCAAGTGTCTGCAGACTGTGGAGGACGAGGGGGAAGAGCAGGTCCGGGCACGCAGCGCCGCCTCGCACTGCTCGCACACCACCGCCTCCCCACACAGCTGCGAGTACATCCCGCAGTCAAAGCCCAGGTGGGTGGAGCTTCCGTCTGTGAGCTCCGACCCTCCGCCACCGTCGTCTCGGTGGCCTTCGGCGCCGACCTTCGCCTCTCTGGTCAGACCGCCGCGGCCGCGTAGCCTCAGCCAGTCATCCCTGAAGGCCGGGCTGAAGAACACGTACAGCACCGGGTTCAGGCACGCAGGCAGCGGGAAGAAGATGAGGGTGACGGATTTGGCGATCTCTGGACCGCCGGCTGTAGAGCCGGTTAAGAGAGGGGCGAAGGAGAACGCTGCCACGGGACAGAAGAAGATGCAGTTGGTGAAGATGAGCCAGGCGACGTGTCGCAGGGCGCCCGTCTGCTCCGGGTCCGCCAGCTCCACCCGGCCCAGGTGGCAGTACAGCTGGGTGTACACGGCGGCGGTGAACAGGTAAGCCAGCGCGTTGAGCAGCACCAGAACCACCGTCACACTCAGAGCCGGGGTGTCGCCGCCGGCAAACGGCAGGCAGAGCGGAGACGAGGACTGGTCGCTGAAGGTCAGGAGAGGCAGGCAGGCCCCGGCGGCGGCCAGCAGCCCCAGCAGCCCTGCAGCCAGGCTGAAGCGGCGATCTCCTCTCAGGCACCCGCGGTGGCTGCCGGCGCTCCTCCTGGGCGACATCAGCGCTTTGCCGAGAATCATCCGCACGGCCACGCTGCGCTCCACAGCTGCCAGCGACAGCAGCAGGACCGACCACTCCGATGAGAAGACGGCCAGAGCTCCCGTGACCTGACAGCCGGGTCCCATCTCCCACCACACGCCGAACTCGGCGAAGGATCCCCACGTGGCGGCGTCGAGCACGGACAGCACGCCGACATACAGGCCTGTGAGCAGGTTGGCCAGAGCCAGGAGCCCCATCAGCAGCCTGGCCGGAGGAAGAGACGCCGGCACGGAGTGGGAATGGCCGGCCGCTCGGTGAGTGGACGAGAAGGTGGCCACCAGCACCAGGCTGTTGAAGACCAGCGACACCAGGCAGATGAACCACACGGTCAGACGGATCATCCAGTTACCCAGAAGGTGCTCACAGGGCTTGAAGGCTCCTGAAGACAGAAACAATGCGGTGGTTCAAAAGTCACTTCATTTAGGACGTTTACTTCTGGATTATTTCAAAGCACGTGGATGCTGATTGGACAGAAGAAGCAAGGAGCTGCTGACCTGGTGAAGGAGAGCAATGCATGATCATGGAGACTCTGTCCACGTCCTCCCCACCTAAAAAACATGAATGTAAGAGGCACAGACGATTAAAAGACAGCCTGACATCACAACAATCATCCTGCCAAACAGCAGTGATGAGCCGTCAGCAGCACGTGTTTGAACTGTTTGACCTCCAAACTCTGGTTTCTGCTGTACGATAATCTACAACAACGAGGCGACCATGTCGGACCTAGACATGCTCCTAGCAGCGCTACGGCACCGTGGACTCATTACAGGTCATCAGCCTGTCAATCAGCCCAGACGCACTAAACACCTTCAGTCAGGACTGTTCAGTTGTTTTAATGTGAATTAAAGTTTTGTTCACATGTCAGCTGGTCAGTGTGAAACTCAGCCTCTGACTGCACAACGTTCTCACCTGCAGACTTCTTCAGGTCGTGCTCCTCAGAGGGACTCGTCGCTGAGTCACATCCAACAAACGCACAGCACTGGTAGGCGTACGGGACAGAGATGGACCTGCAGACGAGCAATCAGCAGTGAGAAAAGTCCTGTGAGATCCGGCGCTGGTCATCGTAACGTCCTGCAGGGCGAAGCACCACTAACGTGTGTGTCCACCGCCGCCTCACCTTCTGCTTGTTCTAATAACAATAATGCTGGGATGTTTCTGGAGTTGGTCTACAGTTCTGGAGAAAACACAATCCCTTCTTTCTCTTTTCTGTCTGCACACGTCTGGTCATTTGTTTCCAGTTTATCAGCTGGACTGAACCAGTGTGTGTGCTGCTTTCTCCAGCACCGCTCTGAGCTCAGAGCCGCTGTGTGGTACCGCTGGTACCTGCCAGATGCAGGATGATCCTGACAAACTTTCCCAGAACCCATTTGTACTCATGACCTCCTCCTTCCCCTCCTGGTCACTCACCTGAACAGCTCTTTGACCTGCTCCAACTTGTATGAAAGTACGATTCAGATAGTTTAATTTGCTGGGTTGGTTTTAAAAAAGCCAGAATTTCTAAACATCGGATGGTTCTGCCGCTCCTGACTGGAACTGGATCCTGATGAGATGTCAGTGGACTGGTTCCATAAAGGGGCAGGACTTTAAAGAGCCCAGGGTGATGAGCTGCTGAATACATGTAATGAAGCTCTCAGAACATCAGCTGCTCTGGGCTGGACCACGGGCTTTTCTTTCAGGTTACATAAGTCACAAATAACAGGACTAGTTCACCAACACAGGTTTTGGGACCTTCTGCCGCTGTCTGGGTTAGGGCTAGTGTGGACCATGAGAACCAGGCAGAGAGCTGGAGGACTGTGTCCAACAGAAGCTCTGGGCCTGAGTCAGACATGTGGGACGCTGCAGTGAGAAGATCAGGGCTTCACTGGAAGGCCACAGACCTCCAGGTGCTGCCTTTCTCCACAACACTCGACAGAAGCTCCTTCTCACCTGAGCTTGGGTAAGTTTTTCGCAGTCAGCACATTCTTCATCTGTGGGTTCCCTGAGAGCTTCAGCTGACTCAGCGAGCCGAGTCCAGAGGTTGGAATCACAGTCAGAGAGTTCAGACTCAGGTCTCTGCAGACACGAGGACACACACACACAGCAGGTTACATGTGCACACACCTGATGAAGGAGCTGTGGTAGACATGTGGTAGCTACTCACAGGTTGGTGAGCGCCGTGAGGCTCAGGAAGGCATCTCTGTGGATCAGCCGCACCTCATTCCTGCTCAGGTCTCTGTGTGACATCACAGCCAGGTGAAGACACGGTCCAGCACCACACACTGGGTCACA